CATTCTCCTCCGCCTCATAACCTATGGCGAAATTCGAACTCACAACCTCCGGATAAAAGGGAACGGGAAAACTGAGCTAAACTTGAACACAGTACGCAACATTTTGTTGTGGGTCTCCACTTGTAAAATATAATTTTAATTGTCAAGAAGCTTGTGCGATGAATGTGTTCCTGTTTACTCATTTTTTGTATTATGATGCATTCTCCTAATAAAATCGTAAACCGATACACACTGATATTTGGAATTGGTTTTACCAGACAGGTATCTCAGTTGTATGAACTCCTCCTTCAAGTCTAAAACAAAGCATTCTATTTTACTAATTTTTTTAAACGATTCTCCAGTTCCTTTGTCTTACTGTAATGGTAACATGCTCTTACTATGTGTGGTGTATTCAATCTGACAATGTATGTATGTGAACTCACTCACTGAATCACCATGTGAAGCTTTCATCCTGGACTAGGATCCTAATCCTTCAATTGTTATTGGTAGCCCAGGAAGAGCTGACCAATCACCAACAGCCAGTTCCAAGAGCGGGAACTATTGTGATTGGACTTTATCCCTGCAACCTCATAGGTTGGTATTTGTATAGTAGGTGTGGCTACATTAGCCGGGAGAGTTTAAAAGCAGAACAGCTTCAATGCTAAAGCTGTTCTGGCTATCAGATGTTGAACCGTGTTGGAGTTGTGTTCGAGTTGTTGAATAAAGTTGAACCTTTGCTGAATCACTCTCCGACTACTTTGTTAAGCGAGCGACTTAACACTATGCAACCAGAATTACAAGCATATTGCACTAGGTGCTTGATGAGGGGAGGGGCTGTGGCTCAGTGAAAGAGCCTCTGCTTTGTCTGCAGAATTTCCCAGGTTCAATCCCTGGTGTTTACAGTTTAAAGGGGTGATGGACTGATGGTTTGATTTGGTATAAGGCAGTGTATGTGTGTTCATGTGACTATAAGACGCCTGCAGATTTTCCAATTTTGGGATGGCATAATGTATACAGATATTGCAGCTGAAATCATAGTTCCTTTAGAATAATGCACTGAGAAACATAAATATCAGGGCATAACAGAGTACAGGAGCTAGAACCAGTCACTGGCAGACATTGGGAGTATCAGCCACAATGAGACACTCCTTCATTCCCACACTGTCCAGTCCTTTCAGTTTCACAGTCCCCTTTGCCCTATGGCCTCTTTTCTGAATCTCACTCTACGCTTTATTTAGCTTGCAAGATTTCACAGAATTTGGATTTTCCTTGATCTAGAATTTGATTCCCCCCTCCCCCAGTATTTATCTTGACCTTTGGGGTGCCAAAAGAAAATGGGCTTCCCATAATGCCACTTTGTTTAATGCAAAACAGACCACTATATAAAATAGCGGTTAAAATGTTCTGGTGAGATCTAAAGAAGGAGCATGCATATAGAGGAAATAACTACTTGCTCATATTTGCTTGATGTTTTTTACTGTCTAAGAAGCAAGTTTGGGTAGTGGGATCTGTGGTTAATAAAACTGCAAGCAATTGCAAATGCAGTTCTGTCTAGCAGATGTGTGCCTCTTCTCTGCATCTTAGCCTCTTTAGAATCAAAGCAGTTCTTACGTCAGAAAGCACTACTGAAGAACTGATAACATGGCATGTTCCAGCTGGTTTAGAGAAATATGCTCCTTTCTTATGGCCCTCTTTTGCAGGCCCCATCCTGTCCTTCATTCTACATATCTCCTTCAATCCCTCCATATGTAAAAGGCAAGATGGAATGTTGCCAAATGTAAGATTATCTTCATAATGAGGAATATACTTTTGTCATACTTTTTAAAAGGCCTTTTTAGACCTTTCTTTCCTTGTCACATTTTTGCACCTTTTTAGGTAATATCCTGGACCTCCTTTAGCACAACTTTGCTTTTCTTTCCCCCTTGATACATTATATACTTTGTGGATAATGCCTTGAGAGGTAGATTACTCTGCCTGATGTTTATGTAGCAGTATGTGGTAGAGCCTGGCGTGATGTTTATGTAGCAGTGATGTTTATGTAGCAGTGATGTTTATGTAGCAGTATGTGGTAGGCCTGGCGTGATCTGGTCCATGGGGTCTTGAAGAGTCGGACTCGACTGAACAACAACAACAACAATGTGGTAGAGCTAGTGTATCTCTATTGTCAACAAGAATAGGACTAGCTTTAATGGATAACTGTGACACTCAGAAGGATTCCTGTGGTTCCATCATATGTTGCCCTCCCCTCAAAAGAATTAACAGCCATGTTAGCTATCTTAACCCAAGCTTTCTTTCATCTGAGAAGTTCCTCTGTCACCCAAATATATGGAACAGCACAGGAGAGGAAAACTGGCTTAGTGTGTCCTGACAAAATGGAAGACTGGACAAAGCTACTTGGGGGAGATTTCATTGAAAAGGTTTTTTGGAGAAGGCAGAGACCCCATGGAACAATGGACAAGATGGAAGAGGGTTATTGTGAGAGCAGTTTTTTTAATAAGTCCATTTTTGCGATAGTCTTGTTTCATAATGGATCAGCTTAAGATTTGTGCTGTGGCTGTAAAGGGAGACCTCGGCTTTCCAGGAGCTGCACGCAAGAAGGTAATTTGATAGCTTTAGTCTTGTGTGAAGTGTGTACACTAGAAACTTTTAGATTCCATTTTTCTGTGTTTTTGTTCCACATCCTTTCCCTATCTACTGTAAATGCTCTGCCTTCAGTAAACTTCTCAATTGGTTCATTATAATTAGACTTGCATTGCTGTGTGATAAAAGTAAGAGGATCTGAGATAGCTGATGAATTTTGGATCCTCAACTCTGTTCTTTTTCTAAGATAGAGTATGCAACTGTGATGCAGGTACTGTAGACACCCCGTCTCACGTGACCTTTGAATGCAATTATTTTTCTGAGCCTAGAAATCTTTTAATTCTTCCTTTGCTCCAAAATGTAGATCATGTGGGGACATTATCTCTTTTATTACAAGAGAATAGCAAACTATCACTTCTTTTAGCTGTGAAATTTTATGCATCTGTGATAGATTTTCACAGCTGTTCAAATGGGGTCTAGCTTTAAGTTAAGAAGCAAGATGAGGAAGAGAGAGAGCTTTTCCAAAGTTTTCTCATGAACCTGAAAGGCCTTGGAATTCTGGAGACTGTGGAAGTAAAAACCCAAAAGGTAAAGGTCTAAGAAAAGCTTTCTTGCTGCCCCAAGCAGAGGTTTGAAGGGAGTGTAGCTTTAAATTCCATCAACTTGTAGCTCCTAACAATTGCAGTATCCTTTATCATATGCATAGATAATTCTCTAGCAGCCAAAGCTCAGGTTTTATTTACACATCAAGTATGACCTTATCTGTTCTGAAGAGAAGCATGGTTATCCTTGGAACATTCAACACAGAATACAAGTGCAAGTAAGGGTAATTATCCACAGTAAAACCCAATCCATAGCCATAATCCAAGTTTCTTGAAAATGATTGCTATAGCATAATAATTGCTTTGATGAAATTATCTCTGATTTTTGCTTTGCCAGTGCAGTTAGCCATTTCATTAAGTATTATTATGTTATTAGCATGTTAATTTAGCAAGTGTTCAGTTTTAGAAGTGCCCCAAAGTTATATACCTATATAAAGATTGGGTTTTATAATGTGCTCTTACCATTATGTTATCATATGAGGAAGAATGTTTATTGTCTTTATTTCTGAAATCACAGAAAAATTTATTCACACTAAAATGCAAATACATTGTATTGTTTCCACTTTGAACATAATTTCAGTAGAATTATTATGATTATAGGATACTTTGTTAGCAATACAAATCTTGTTGATTGCTTTCTTCACAAGAGTAATCATATTCCTCATATCTTTTGTTTAGAACTTTTTCATAAATCCCCAAGCTGATAGCTGAACAAAAATTTAGTTGAAAATCCTTTTTATTTATTTGAAGGGCTGCTTTCTTTTAAGATTGAACAGCATGCTGTGTACATCTTATATTCCAATAGTCAAGTGTAGGCCTACCTGCAGATACTTAAGTCTGTGGATCAGCCCACACTGACAGAAAACATATCGTTCTGCAAACTTGGGGGACCCCCCAGGGTTGCAGAAAAATCTGAAAACTTAAAAAAAATGGAGGGGGGTTTAAATCTCCCCCCAAATAGGGTTGTTAGCACAAGCACAGACAATGCTCCCACACTGTCCACCAACTACCCTGCTGGGGGAGCCATCTCCACAGCTGCTGAGGTGGAGAAGTTATCCCTGCTGTGGCTGAGGTGGAAAAGCTGTCCCCACGACTGCTGCTGAAGCAACAAAGCTGCAGGCAGGTAGGGAAGTTGGCCCTGCTGCCATCGAGGTGGAGAAGGCCTCTCCATCACTGCTGCCAAGGCGGGGAAGCCAACCCTGCTGTACCTGCCACCTCTGCTGAGATGGCAAAGCTGCAGGCAGGCAGGCAGGCAGGAAAGCTGTCCCCCTCCACAGCTGAGGCAGAAAGGCCATTCCTGCCACCACCACAGTGGATATACAAGTGGGCAGTGGAGTTGTATAATAGACCCACTTCACAGCGCTATTTTCAGAGGTCCCCATTTGTTGTATCCAAATAATCACAGTGAATTGAAGAGCAGATAATCTTAATGGAAACTAATCCTAATTTGAACAATGTTAACATTTTTTTAAAAAAAAGATGAAAATTCTTTAAATATTTATTCATCTTCTCATATATGGAATAAAGAATTGTTATTGCTATATGTGGGAGAAGGAATCTGAGTTTGGCAGTGTGTGATCTCAGCTGGGATTAAAATCCCAGTAGTTATTAATGTGCTGTATAATGAATCAGAATCTTTATTAAAACGGTCATTGACCAGCACATCATACCAAAGTTCACAGCTCTATAATGAAGACCTCATGTTCTTAAAAAAAAACCCTAAATTGTGAGGTTCTGGTAACAGTTCCTGGCCAGTGTGAAAGGTTGATGTGGGTTTGCGAAGCTTTCATTAATTCTGCTGAACGTAGGCTATAAAATGCCTCTTCACTAATATCATAGGATCACGATTCATCTGATGAGGAAGAGAGTAGCAATGGTGATGAAGATGAAGACTCTGATGAAAAAGAAGAAACAGAAAAGGAAGAGGTAGAAGCAGATGCAGCAGAATATGATGACCAAGTACCTGAAAACGAGGGACAGAGCAGTAAATCCCATGAGAACACAGAACAGAATCAAGTGACCATGGAAACCCTAAAGGTAAGTCATTTGTTCTCAGTCAGTGCTTCTTAAGAATGCAGAGGTCACTCTATCCCATTATCCATTACACTGTTTTTCACATGCCAGAATTAAGCAGCAGATTTATAGGTCTGTGATCCAAGTAAAATGCTAAATAAAACCTCAGAGATGCATATTTGAGGTATAAAGTAAACTCTGCTACTAGAATCTCTCAGTTTGCTTAAAACAGTATGTTTTGTAATATATTTTCAGCTTTTCAGACAATATTATTTTACTGTGGCAATGAACAGTTGTGCTAGAGATGTTCTGTGGATTTGAACTTAAGATATGCTTGTTATTTTTTAAAAAACAAAGTGGGGCATTTAATTTTCTTTTAATAGGCTAAACTATTTTTGAGTTATAAAAAACAACGTTGGATCTTCGACGTGGTCTCTGTGCTTCACACCCATGGGGATCTAGTGCGCACGCGCTGGATCGATCGGCATTGTAGCAAGCTCTTTAATGGATTTTCGTGCCCAGACCTTGGTCATGCACAGGAACCCCACCGCACTTGCCCAGAGGGGAGGGCGCGGACATCCCGCCAGTTCCTTTCTTACCGCCACGTTGAAAAGACCTTTTCTCCGTCAGTCTGATCAGTTCGCTATTTTTGGCTATTTGCCTCATGGCTCTTTGGATTTTCCCTCACTTTTCTACCTTTTTTGTGTTACTTCTTTGTTACCTACAAAAAAAAAAGACTTTATTTTTCCTGAGGGGAGAAAGTTCCATTTACCTCAGCTTGGCCTTCGGGCTCTACCCTCCCCTTTCTTTCTCCACTACTTTCTTATTCTATGGAGAAAAAGTGGGGCTTTTTTAACCTGTGTCAACGTTGCGGTAGTAAACTTTCACCGCCTGACCGCCACACCCTCTATTTTGTGCTTGGGATAGTCTCACAGACCTGACTCTTGCCAGCACTGTGCAAGATTTTCAAACCAAACCTGAAAAAACTGAGCTGCGCACCTCAAAGTGGCGCTCCTTGAATCGGCTCTAAATCCTTCCACAACGATGGACTCCGAGAGACCTTCGACCTCGACGGCTCCGGTATCGAGACCTGCCTCTGACATCGTTCAACCGATGCCGAAGCCTCCGGCATCAAAGGCGCAATCCTCCACCTCAACACCAGTGAAGAAGAGACCCAAGACAAGTAAGGAGACGTCCGCAAAAAAGGGTTCCTCTAAGCCCCTCAAAGCGGCAAAGAAGGTGAAAGTAGCGACGTCCGCACTGGGTGATGCCCCTATAGTGCCCCCCGCTCCATCGATATCGTATACGCATGCTCCTCCACCGATATCTACAATTCAGATTTAGGTAATATCCTGGACCTCGAGAATGTGGAGCTCCTAAGTCACCCCACGGGTGCAGAGCTTTCCCTCTCTCCTTCTCCGTCGTCAACATCGACAGTTTCAGAAGCTCCCAATGTCGATACAGGTCAGAATCGACACATTCCTTCTAGCCCGCAGCGTCAACGTCCATGTCTGCATGCCAATACTATCGATATCAATGAGTGAGTTTTTAGAGACCGTTCACGAACACGGCACATTCCTTTGTCTCCGAGACGTGATTGGTCCAGAAGTCGATCCTCCAGAGTCTTTATCCCCACCACCACCACTGATGTCGTGGGATCAATGCCAACTGAGATACCTCTACGGCAATTATACACCATCCATGCCCTGGCTGACTCCTGTAGGCTATTCCGACTGGGATTGCTATTCGACCTACTCTGCTCACAGATCAAGGTCACCCTATAAATCGAGACCTTCAGCATCGCTGTCTCGACCTCCAGCTGAGGATCCTTCCCACCATCAAATGGAACCTCTGGGTCCTTCCACCCCCCAAGTCGTTCCACCAAAGGCTTTAACTAGTCAACCTGAGATTACTCCAGTACACATACCCGAACAGGGCTGCTCTGACTCTGAAGATGACGAATCTGACTCAGAGGCTTCGGAGATCCAAACCTCCCCTGACCACAAGTCTCCTGACCAAGCTGTCACGGAGGACCTCCCTATATCGCCATCCGACAATCTCACTTCTTATGCAGACCTTGGCAAGTGGATTGCCCATTCTCTAGGCTTCTCTGTTGTACAACAACAGCCACAGATTACTGATCCTGTTTTTGATATTGTGCAACTGGATACCTCCACTACTATTGCACTCCTCATGTCCGCAGTCCTCTTGCAAGCTATCAAGGCTCCATGGGAAAAGCCATCTTCAGCCCCGGTGTCGACGAGACGTCTGGACCACATGTACAGAGTCCAGGAGACAGGTGCTGAATTTCTATTTTCCCACCCTCCACCAAATTCAGTAGTCGTAACATCCTCGTCCAAGTCAAAGCGAACACACTCGGCACCCTCTGACAGGGAAAGTAGGAAATTAGACGCATTCGGGAGATGCTTCTACTCCACGGGTGAATTAGGGGTCAATACCACTAACTACCTAGCCTGCATGAGCAGATATCAATATACTCTGTGGGAAAGGTTCTCCGACCTCCTGACCTACCTCCCTGAAGACAAGCTTCAGGCGGCCAGGATTATTCAAAAGGAAGGCATGGTCCTTGCAAAGCAGCAGATCAACACTTCCAAACATGCCTTAGATGCTTCCTCCAGAACAATGGCCTCAGCGATCGCTCTGAGGAGACACTCCTGGCTCCGCAATACCAATCTTCCACAAGATACTAGGTCCTATGTCAAAGACCTTTCTTTTGATGGCCTCGGTCTCTTTAACAGCATGAC